TGAAGAGGAGTTAGACGTACAGTATGGGGACGTAGAGGTGCTACGTTTGTGCGAAGTGCTGAAAGTGGACAGAAGAGAGACTGTTCAGGGCTTTCGCGAATACAAGGAAACCAGGGCATCCCGTACACCTGCTGCCATGGAGCCTCTACTGAAAGCAGTCCGAACCATCGCTGTCTCCACTAGTGAGTGTGAGCGGGCATTCAGCTGCATGAACGATATCCTTACTGCAAAAAGGAATGCTCTCTCTGTCAGCCGACTGTCCAGCCTGGTTTTCATTAAATGTAATGGACCATCACTAGGACAGTTCAATCCGGAACAGTATGTGAGGTCCTGGCTGGCAAAGGGAAGGAGAAGTGCTGATGAAAGAGCCTGTCCAGCTCCAGCCCCTGATACTGATGTCCCCAAGGCCTTCTGGAGCCTTTTCTAACAATGTGAAGTATATTGCAAAGCAGCTCACCCAGTGAGAAGACTTTTGGCATAATGTGCCGATTTGTACAGATCCTGGAGATAGAAGGACTTCAGACCAACCAGGGAGTTATCTGATCAGCTTGGTGTTCAATGTAACTCTTTACCATGGCTCAGACTTTGTTACTTGCAGTTACAGTTTCTCATTTTAGATTGTGCAAATTTTGCATTTGTTTTTACATGTTCTTTGTTCATGCTCTTTATCATTTTTCTGAGTTGGAAAGTTAGATTGCATCATAGTTTACTTTATACATATTTGTATTCTTCAGTGGTGAAGTATATTGCAAAGCAGCTCAGCCATGTGAGAAGACTTTTGGCACTTTTTCGTTTTTCGTTTTCTGAGTTGGAAAGTTAGATTGCATTCAAAATGTACAGAAATACTTAATTTTGTTAAAGCTTTTTATAAAAAATGCTTCTGACCCGAGCTTTGTTTCCTTGTCATTAATGTTGAACACCACCAGAGGGGCTCTCACCTGAAAGGTCTCTGCTTCATGTGTCTTCAGCAGAAGATCTAGACTTTGATTGCTATATTTTCAGTTAATATTGACCTTACTGAGCTTTAGCCATATCCGCTGCCTATCATAAAAAATGTTAAGTACAGTGAACCTTTCTAAAATATACAGTAGTAAAGAGACAAACCCACCAGCATTATAGTAGCCAAATTCTTGTTTGTGGGCTGTATATATAAAATTGACTTGAAAAAGTTGCTGATTTTAGAGTACTGGCACCTTTTTCATTCCAATTCAAGCACTGGTCTGTGTTGGCAAATGTCATCTAGGTTGCACATTTCCTGCTGAAATACATGCATACCAAGTCACTGCGTGGCACTTTGGTTTTGATAAAACAGTGTAGTTCCACTATATAAACGTTACATTCATAATCAAACGAGACAATCTGCAAGATAATTAGCTATTTGGTATTATTCTTAATGCTTGTCATTCACACGTTAATAAAATAAAATAAGTACCGATACATAGCAGAATAATTGTGGCGGTGTTCAGCTTAATAAGCCTTGCTCAACATCATTTATTTAGCTAATACTACAGCGGGCTGCAGGCGAACCAAGTCCGCGTTACGATGCATTCCTTGATCTCCAGTTATAACGCCGGACTCCGCCGCTGGCTGAAGCTAACGGAGCCCCAGGGTGCTAGCTACGGCCGCCGGGACGCGCTAGCGAGCTAGCACCCTGCAGCCCCGTTAGCTTCGGCGGCATGGACTCCGGCGGCCCACCCCTTTTAACATTTGTCCGGAGTCCACGCCGCCGAAGCTAACGGGGCTGCAGGGTGCTAGCTCGCTAGCGCGTCCCGGCGGCCCGCCCCTTTTAACATTTGCTCCCGTTTAGCATTATGGGCGTCATAGCCATATAGTATAAAAGTCTTACCCAAGGCTGAATCATAAACTAAACTGTATATATGTATAAAGGGTTACGTCCTTAGCTGGCTAATAAGCTACATAACAGGCTAAGCTAACAAGCACACAAACACCTGCTAACGGGGTTAACATGTATAATATTATCATTTTACTCACCGAAAAAAGCTGAAAGTAGACTTCTTGGAAGATCTGTTAGTACATTCAAGCGCACAGCACGACATTTTAATTATCTGGTATTTGTAACAATATTCTCTAACAGGCACGATCACCACGAACACGGCTAAAGGATCAAGTACAGTAACTACAACTAACTAACGTTGTAGCCTCTATGGTTGTAGCCTAGCAGATTGGACAAGTTGCTGTTAGCTGACAGTGAGGCACGTATCTGTCAATCAAAGTGACCACGCCCTAATGTATGCACAAACTTTAAGACCTAATATAAATATAAAGGGTCGCGTTAGAAAACAATTCACTCACAGATCCATAATCATGAAGGTGGAATCTAACTATATCGATAATAAAATGTATGGAGCCAGGGGTAGAAACATGTTTTTTTCTGCTGTAAAATCGGGCATTTTAACATGGGGGTCTATGGAAATTGCTCCTTTCTGCAGCCATCGCCTATCGGCCAATATATGAACTGCAGTGTGTGGCACTTCCGTATTGGCTTCCCGGCTCTACCCCACAGTTTGCCGCTTGGTACTAACAGAGGCGGGGGGGTGTGTGGAAATAACGGGGACAGAGCTGCTGTCAGACGATCAGCGTCATCACAAACGGACGTCGCTTCACGTGACGCTCCGGAGGAAAGGACGTCCCATTGCTCTTAAAACTCATTTCCCTGCTTCTCGTGTTTCCTTGCGTCCCTCCATGCTTCCCTGGTGGGAGGGACTAAACGCAGGGAAATGACGCAAGTGAGGGACGCAAGGATTTCATTTAATCGACCTGAGAAGCAGCCCTGGTAGTTATCACCACACTACTCGCATGCCGCATGTAGATCCCTACATCCGGTACGGTGTCTGCAGAAGGACCAAAGAGACCAAATGCGAATACTCTACAGTATATAATGACTTCTGTATTTAGTATTCCATAACTTAGTAACAGAGATGGTCAAACTGAAGTAGAGACATGGCAGTGAAGTGTTCTCTGAGAGAGGGCGATCAAGAGAAGAGAGCAAGGGTGAGCGAGTTTACAGATGGAAAGACACAGAAAGACAGAAGCACACTAACAAGTGTATGGAGGTGCTTTTTTGTAAATAACTGACGGTGTCAAGAGGAAGTCAAGTCGTGAGAAAACTCCAAATCAATGTTCTAAAAATCCGACACTGTGGTCTCAACGCACCGGCACCACAGTGTAATATATATAACACGTAACATGTGTAATGACACACTTAGCGTTATAGAACATAAATAATAAAGACGTACCTGGTTTTAAAACACTTTGTGGTCATACTGTGGAACGAGTTCACACTGAAACGAGTTCTTCATTCAACATTTTGCGGGGAATTACATATAAGAAGAAGGAGAAGAAGTAGTGGAAGAAGAATGAAACTCTAAATGCTAACGCTAAGGCTACAATAATTGTATTGCTGCGAACGAGCACCACGCCATTGAAACATCAACTGTTTCAATGGTATTCCTCCTTGCTTTGTGTTCAGAAAGCATATTTAAAAACGGGGACATTTCCGGGGACAGATTGAGCCGGGGATTGGCCCCTAAAGCCAGGCAGGCCTTTGGTGTGATCACCATAGTCATATGAGGCCGGAGGGCCTTCGCTCCCAGCTGTCAGATTGTAAACAAAGTCACGTGACTGGGGGCAGACCACGGCGCTGACAAGGCGTGTCCCCGCAGCGAGACGCTACTGTACTAGCTGTGGGTTTATCGTGTTGATTCGGCCACATGAGAAACCGTCTCTCCAGAGGGGCAGGTCAGCCAAACAGGGCAACATTAGCCCGTCCCTGGTGCACACAGTGTAATGGAAAATTGGTTCATGCTGAAGGAGGAATTTCAAGTTCACCATCTGTTCTATTTCTAACAACAGGAAGCAGCAAATGTCCTCAATGAGTCGTAAACGGTGTTGGAGCTGTTCATGGTCCTCTTGTGGACCGACATGATGTTTCTCAAGTTTCAAAGAATCCTATATGTAGTACGTTTATCTGTTATGTTTGTCTCAGCCCCTCCTCTTCTATTCTTGCTGTGAACATGTGAATATAAGACCCTCATTATTACGTGTTTCAAAGAGGACCGTGCATACAAATACATTCATCTCAGAAAAGAGAGGAGATGAATGATGGCAGATGTGAGCTATAGCTCATTTCATCTGCAGGACACAACAATCAAACACGACAAGCATTGCATCATCTCTATCACACAAACAGTTATAAGACATGATTCAAGCAGATTGTGCAGCGCGCCTCAGAGGGACGGTGATATGATGCTTGATTGATTGGTTATATCTGCTTTTAGTGCACATCTTGAGTTTCTGCATCTCTGCTCACGGTGAAGCTGAAACAGACTTTTCGCGGCAGACTGCTTGCCTCTCTGACGGTTTCCCTTCTTGCAGAATAACTCCCTTAAAGACCGTCTTATTCCAACAATGTTCATTTCAGTAAAACGGAAAGTTTCCTCACCATTTCATTATTATTTACTGGTTTGCCTCGATACATTTCCACCGCACTGCAGAGGAGGGAACCCCAAGAGGAAGAAGAAGCACTCTTTAAAGCGGGTCTATGCACCCCTCTGTAATCACTAGTATATCAGTGCGATAAGATAAGAAGGACTTTATTGATCCCAATGTGCTAAATGTTTGCGTTGCATAAACAATCCAAAATGTAAATGTCTGAAATAGAAATAAAATAGCATTAAAACATGTAATAATAAACATGTGGAAATACACATGTATGGATGTTATATACATCAAGGAAAGGATTAATGAATATTATAATGTATGTATAGAATTGTGTTTGAGTATTTCATTACGGAATTATCTTTTAGTTTTCTTTATCCTGCACTGGATGACTGACAGGAGGGCGACCTCTGTATAGTCTGTCTGTCCTCCTGCTACTCATTGCGTTTCTCAGATATAAACTGTCTAATTGTTGAAATAGTAGAACAAATCCAAAAAGAGATGGACTTATAACTTCATCTGGTTATTCGTGTCGCCCTCAGAGAGTTCGAGCTGTTGGTGCAAAACGGCAACTGGGTCAACGCCACCGAGTGTCAGCTGACCTCTGACCCTCGCTGCGACGTGACCATTGAGCTCGGCTCAGACTCGGACTACAGCCTTCGGGTCAGAGCAAAGTGCGGAGCCGCCACTTCAGCCTGGACCGAACTCAGCGCTCCGTTCAACCGCAAAGACAGTGAGGCGCTTTCTCAATCCTGCACACAATCTGCTTTCTCACCAGAAACTACAAGTATTTATTTGTTGCTAAAAAACTCTCAGTATTTGTGATTTGTTTTCCTCTTTAATCACAGAGAATATCTTAATTACTTTTTTTAAATTAACACATTTGATTAACTTAAATTCAGAGTTTTATCCCTGTATAATTAAGAAAAACATATTTTTGGTTAATAATGTATTTGTATCTGGTAAATGTACAACTTCAATCTATGAAATAAAAAGTTAAAATACGTAAATGTAACTCTTTAATCTCAGATACACCTTTTGTCGAAAATGTGTATCACTGAGTAGATCTCCATCAAGTTAGATCATTAAGAAAAATAACCTTTAATATTCTCTGAGATTCAAGAAGAACATTTAGAGGAACATCACAATTTCCAAGATTATTTAAAAAGTGAGAGAAATCCGGATTTGTTTCATTTCATTTTATCGCTAGAACTAAAGTACATTTCATTCATCCAATGTCAGAGCTTTGTAACTTGAGTAAGCCCCTGAGTGTTTGTCCCTCAGCGGTCCTGACGGCTCCGGAGATGTCGGTGATGGCGGTCGGCGACTCTCTTCAGGTTTCGTTCGGAAAACTTCCTCTCAACGCCGACGTCTGTGTGACGGTGTGGAGGAGAGGCCAAGAGGTCAGAGGTCACAAAACTAAATGTTCCCCAATAGTTCAAAGTCAAAGTCAACTTTATTATCAATCTTTCAGTTTGTGTGTACAGGCAGACAGATCGAAATACCGTTTCCCACAATCCAGAGGAATACAAAATACAAATGTATATAAAGATATGTATATACCTATAGGCGTGTGGTGCAGTGGATAGAGCCTTGGTGTTGGGACCAGGGGGTCACAGGTTCAAACCCAACTGCAGTCAGCATGTCGTTGTGTCCCTGGGCAAGACACTTCACCCCAAGTTGCTCCCGTGGGGATTGCCCACAGTATTGAGTATGTACGTCGCTTTGGATAAAAGCGTCTAACAAGTAACATGTAATAATAATATACTGTACACATTTATACATATGCACACATTGAGACACAAATAAAAGCACAACAATCAATATATACAAAATAACAATAGATGAGCTGAAAGCAAATGCTTTACAAAATGACATTAAGAGACAGAGCAGCAGATTCATGAAAGAGCCAAGAGAATAACATAAAACAAGCTGATATAGAATTACACAGGTATAAATACATAACAGTTACAGTGAGATACGTATAGTAACATTTAAAGCAGGTCTTTTGCATTGAAGAAAAGTTCATTTGTTGCAGAAAATAGTAGAAAAACCTTCTTGGAGGTATCTTGCATTTTAATGTTAAAATGCTGCGAAAAATAGAAAATGTCTTCAATTTTTTTTACAAAATAGTACAAAGATATAAGTTGGAGTTACTTTGCTTAAAAAAAAAGTTAATTTCTTGCACAAAATAGAAGATAACATCTTATTTTGTTGCAGGTATCTTGCATTTAAGAAGTTTATTTGTTGCACAAAATAGAAGTAATAAATTGGAGGTATTTTGTATTGAAAAAAGTTAATTTCCAACATAAAACAGTGAAGAAGAAAGTTTTTCTTCCCAGGCTGTGGTGCACTGGGTGCCAGCGGAGCAGCGCGTGCTGTCGGTCCCTGGCCTGCAGGTGGCGCAGTACTGCGTCCGGGCTCAGACCGTCCTGCAGGATCAGAATCGGAGCGACAGCACCAACGAACAGTGCATCTCCATCACAGGTCCGTGCTTTCACTGTGAAACATGTCCTAACTTTCCGATAACGTCCTCTTGCTCGATATTCTTTCCAAATATATAAGTTTAAGGTTAGTTTATTTGTATCGCACATTTTAAGACACAGAGGCAATTCAAAGTGATTCACATAGGCATTTAACACATAATACTTTATTAAAAACAAATCAAACACTCAAACAAAGAGAAAATCAAAGTGCAATGATAAAAATAAAGGTTTGTAAACTGGATTGAAAAGAACCCAGCGTTGAAAGCTGCCTCAGCAAATGTAGTTGTAAGGGATAACAGGAGATCTCTCTCCAGGTGCAGACGCCCCCTGGAGGAAACCGACGGCGGTGTTGCTGAGCGTCGTCTTCACGGCCGGTTTCCTGTTCGCCGTCTTCTGGTGCGTCGCTCACTGCCATCCGGATCGCTGCAAAACGTTTTTCCGTAAAGAGCCTCTGCCACACTCACTGGTCAGTCACCTTTCAGTACATTACAAATACACATATATGTAAATGAGAATCACCCTGTATGGAGTCAGAGGTGTGCCATAAAAAGGGGAAAAAGCTATACAAGTATTTTAAAAAACTGTGGAAATGAAAGGTAATGAATCAAAGAAGACCTAAATATGGAATATAAATCAAATAAACAATATTTTTTAACTTATTTATATTTCCATCGGTTTTACTCTCCATTACACGATTTAGAATTCTCAAAGTAGTGCAGTCTATTATTGATGTAAATTGAATGTTGTAGTGTCTTACGAGAGTATCTCTAAATGCACCCTCTGTTGCAGAAACCTGATTGGGTGATTCAGATCCCGATTAGCCCCGAGGATGTGGAGCTCTGTGAGCGGATCCAGGTGTGCAGTGACTGCCCTTCCGAGGACCTCTGACCCTGAAGAGACACCTGCAGTACAAAATGCAGATTCTTGGATTTTGAGTCTGTGGTGCATTCAAATCTTGTGGGAAAAAAGACAATTGAGGGCTGGTTTTCGTTAGCTGTTGGCAGTTAGCTGTTAGCAGTCAGCAGCGCCAGATTCCATATCGTTCAACATGCTGCGTTTAAGCCTTATGTAGGAAAAAAGAGAATTGGACAAAGCTGACCTGTATCGTTATCAAGATGTGTTAAAATGTAGTCTTGTAAAATGAAGTTTTTGAAAGGAAATGTGGAAAAGTACAGTGTTTAGAGTAGTGTTGTAGTACTCGAGACCGGTCTTGGTCTAGATCAGGGGTGTCCAATTTATGACCATGGGGCCAAACATGGCTCATTTTGAAACGGCCCCCAGCTAATTAAAAAAGTATAATGAAATATGGCCCACAAATTAAACTTGTGCTTGTCATATATCCTACTTACTATGTACAAATATATTACACAGTGTTCATGTGTTAATAAGCCCACTTTTCAAATACATTTAGTTAATTAAAGTTGGAAACATTTTCAAAAAAATCTTAGCTGAAAAAAAAAAGCCCAATAACTTATTTACATATTTAGGAGGTGGCAGAGGGGAGGACGAGGAGGAAGCTCGACAGCATCCTAGAGAACCCCTCCCTCCCACCCACTCCACGCAGAGCTAGTGAAGATGAGGAGTACGTTCAGCCACAGACTCATCCCTCCACAACAACGCACCAAGCGCCTCGGACAGTCCTTTGTGCCTCAGGCTGCACAATAAGGGGTTAAATATGAAAAATAAATCAAATTAAATCACTGGTCATAAATATACACTGTTTCCACAACAACCCATGTTAACTTGTCACTTTAACCTATTCCGCACTTTATAGCTTAGATGATGACCAAATATGTGACAGTTATTTTATTCTTATTTTTATTCATCTCTTATTTTCATAGTCTTTTATTATTATTATCATTATTTCCTTGATTTTATGTTATTTATTATTTATTTTAGATTTTATTGATCTGTGTGAATCTTTGCTGTACTGTTTTTTTTTCAAGCTTACCCTGTTGTTGCTTTGGACAACTGAATTTCCCTTTGGGGATTAATAAAGGTTCATCTTATCTTATCTTATCTTATCTTACATAACAAGCTTGAAATCTACCCTTTAAATGTCCTCTTTTTATCAGCAATCTGAAGCCTCTGTTTTCAGGAATGAGCTACCAACAAAATAATGAAACCCTCTGGAGAGCTGTGAGCTGCTTTGTTCTTAAAGCACTTGATTGATTTAGCTAACTTATAACTTTACTAATAAGGCAGTATACCTCACCTCTAGTGAGCCAGCCCTTCGTATATGTGTCTGTATGTGGCCCTCACTGGCCCACTCACCCCTGGTCTAGACCTCTGAAAGTCTTGACTTGGTCTTGGTTAAGGTGGTCTTGACTAGTTTACAGCAATTAGAAAATACATATCAGAGAGGGCATTATGACCTCATTAACTTCCTAATCAATATGCTTTCAGGATTATATAAGGAGTGTATGTTGAAGTATGTATTCTGGATTTTAGATATTTTGATTTCATGGGAGTATATCCAAACGTTTTCCAGAAGATGCTGATGAGCTAAATATGTAGGGCAATCAAATCCTGTGTGAAGGGGTTATGGAAAGAAACAAAAGGAAAACTGCATCAAAACAACAAGATGTTATTAGGCTTTCTGAAAGTCTGAATCAGATCAGGGACGTCCCAGGATCCGTTACTGTGGTACCAAGTTGATGCCAAAACTCTACAGATTAACTTTGTCCTGTTGCCCAGGGAAAATAGAAAAAACCCTATTGTTCCTTATGAAAACAATGTTATTTTGTATATTGAATGTTGTGCCTTTTATTTATGCCTCCTAATGTGTGCATGTTACGGCCGCTGCTACCTTGTGCCTTTAACGTTGTGTGTATGCAAATGAGCTGTGCCTTCCGATGCTGTCAGTGGCCGTTCCGACCTCGCAACCTTCGCGGGGATTGGACAGACGTCACTCAAGTCCTACTCGCTGCTGCCACGTCATCCGGGGGAGGAGGATAAAGGCTGGGCACGAACATCCGTCTGGACGCCCTGTATTTTGTGACAGATGCCTCAACCCTCTACTTGTGACAAAGCCCTCATCCTGTGATTCTGTTAGGCTGCGTAGCAGTGTATTTTCTATGCCTCGTTAGACTGCTTAGCAGTATATTCTGTAGAGTTCTGTGCGATCTCACTGGTTAGCAGTGTGTCGTGGTATTCTGTGTTTAGAGTAGGGTTTGTGTGTGTGTGTTGCGTAGATCCAGGTTGCTTAGCTCCTGTAGACCCGCACAGCCCCACCTAGTGTCAGCAGAAAGTATTAAAATAATGATTACAACAAAATGCAAAAAATAAATTAAAATATATATCAAATATATTTTAAGATCATGTTTAATCATCTGATTCGTCTCATTGCTGTTTTAGTCTGTGTTCTTCTAATTAGTGTCTACAGTGTGTGCCTATTGAGCTGTTTAGAGCCATGTGGGACAAAACCCGATCCTGCCCCTCCCTCTCACTGTCTAAGTGAACGGTGACTGTAAAAACTACACTGCGCATGCTCAGAGTATTGTCCTATTTAATGTGTGTGGCAAAAAATAATGACCATGGGGCATTGAGCTGCCATCCCCACCATACGTCATCTCACATCATTCAGAGCTGATTGGCTGTAAGTACGTGTGCCGCGAAAAGTGTGGTGTGTGAAGAGGAGACGAGAGAGCTGCAGTGACGCGTCCTAAAACCAGGAAGTAAGCTGCGCATGGCTTCCCTCCACAAAAAAGCAATGATATTTCTCCATAGGATTTTAGAAAATAGCTCAAAATAAGATCTGTGGGAAACAAACCTGTTAGATAAATGCACGTTTTGTTCAGCCGGATAATATCCACATGTCTACCCTACTTTTATCATTTTCGAATCATAAATCCATAATTTAGATTTATGATAGACTTTTGAAACTACAAGAAGATAAGGAGGACTTTTACAAAAAAGTAATAGAGATTTTTGTCCAGAAGGATAGGCAAATGGACTTCATCTTCAAGTCAAGGTAAGACCACAATTTTATTGAAAATGGGATCTTACTAACGGCCCCCTACACACGGCGGCGTGCGTTGCCGCTTCAACGCTTCTGCCCATTCACTTTGAATGGGGTGACGTCACGATTCGCCGAACTGCATTGTGGGAGCAAAGCGTAGCTTTTCTCGCGGTGCTCGCTGCAAAAGTAGAGCAATGTTCTACTTTTGCCGCCTCGACGGAGGCCAATCAAATCCCGTTTATGCAAATCTGCCAGTACAAGCGCTAGCCAATCAAACCGTGTGTATGCTGGGAGAGCCAGACCGCAGTTAATTTCCTCATATGCCAAAAAATGGAGGAGAAAATAATCGTAGCGGTAGGGAATCACCCGGTGCTTTATGATCAGTCCCTGTTCACCTACCGGGATACAAACCGGAGGAGCCAGGCATGGAGGGAGGTGGCAGAGATTATATTTTGATTTAGGTCAAAATATAATATTTGTAAACCTGAAGAGTCAGTGCCAGTGCCTCGCCAGCCATGAACCTCACTGCAGAAGCTTATATATAGACATCTGAGTTTTTTGTGCCCCACCACTTTTGTACATATAGAAACGCCACTGTATGTGTATAGATACACAAACTGTATACTATACTGTACAGTCTATGGTTAAACCAACCCTGCTTAAATGGTACAACTACGCCGCCTGCTGTTGCAAATGTGAGATTATGGGTTAACCCCATAGCAACGGCATAGCAACCGCATAGCAACCGCATAGCAACCGCATAACAACCGTATAGCAACCGCACAGCAACCACACAGCAACGGAGGATCTTCTGAGGTAAGGTGTCTCAAATGTCTGTGGATAAAATAATGTTTTACTTACTTGAGAAGCTCATAAAAGTTAAAGGGCCCATGTCATGGCAATTTCCACTGATCATAATTCCATTGTTGAGGTCTACTAGAATAGATTTATACTGTGCAATTTTTCAAAATCACATTGGTTTCTCATACAGCATCTCTGTAAACTACGTGTATTCACTGAATTTCACTCTCTGCCTTTAACGGCTCGTTGGAGCTCCAATAGAGAGGCGAAGTCCCTCCCCTTCCGGGGGACCTCCATGGGACCTTATTTTGGAAAAATCATGTATTGAAATCAATGGAGAGAGAAAGATTATCTTTTGATCCCGTTTGAATTGTGCCATGAATTACACATATGATGTTTGTCAATTTAAAAGATAATTTTGCAAGTCAAAAAAATTAAAATGTGTCGTAAAACTGTGAAGTAACACATTTTTTTGTGTGAAGCGCTCAATGAACTACATCTCTGGTCTTGCATACGTCACCAACACCAAGATGGCCGTCACGTTAGCACATTTCACCTCTTTCTTTCAGAATGAAGTGAAAATCACTACAAGTCTGGGCATGTTGAGACTGTATATACACTAAAGGGGAGTTAGTCGGTTCCGTAAGAGCCAGCATGCGGGACCGGCTTTACAAGGTTTCAGCAGTGGCGAACCGTCAGGGCCTTCAAGGTATTCAGAGAACACCCTGGAACACTCAGATAAAACAAACAAAAAATCTATTTAATTATATAAATAAAATGTATATAAAATGAATAAATGAGAATGGTATCTGTGTTGTTGATCTGTAATATCACAGTGTTACGTTGATGTGTTTGTCCTTCTCGGACCATGCTCTACGCATTTCAGTGGTTTTGTGTTAGAAAAGAAAGCAACCAATCAGATCTTGTTCTGGGTCTCTGGGTAGAATATCCTTCACCAAGGTATTCTACATCCTCGATCGAAGGCCCTGGCCGTTGCACTGAATGAGAGCGTACGTTTGGACTGACAGTTTGATCAACCAATCATATATTGATTTGAAGCCAATGGGCGTATTCTTTCAGAGTTCCCCTCGGTTCCAGGGTATTCTAGAAGGCCTGCTAGTTAACTGGCTCGAGGCAGATGATCTAGATGAGTGCTTCTCAAAGTGTGGTCCGCGGACCACTGGTGGTCCGTGAGTATATTGGTAACATTTCACATTTAAAATAAATAAATATATTTCAGTTTTCCACACTCTCGCGGGAATATCTCTGCAATGGAGCGAGGTTAAGTTTCACTTTCGATTGCATGATATAGCCCAGCGCCACACCTTCATCAAACATGTTGAGCCCAATTGGCGGGAGGATCATGTTTCATGGATGGGGACAAGGCACATAATGTCAGTGTACCATCTGTGGTGTACACAACAGCATTGTGCAGTGTAGTCTGCCTGTGGGATGCTCCAAAATGGACTTGCTGCACCTCCTTTGCATATTTGCACTGCCAGTTTTCTGCATAGTCAATGTGAATAATAGCTTCGTCTTCTTTCAGAGATTTGTGCAGGAATTGGAGCTGTGTGTACTGGGGGTGGATGTTGAAGAGGTGCTCTGGGCTGCCCTCACATCTCTGTTTAACCGTCACAGTGATCTTTTGTCTTTCTCCGTCCTTTTCTTTTTCATAATCTTCTTTTTTCGTGAGCCACTGGTACCACCATGTGACTTCTGATGTACCAGTACTCGTTGTGTTTAAGAGAGCCTTGTTCTTACATGGAAGACATTCCCTGTACATGCAAGCTTTAGCCTGAGCGTCACAGCACAACTCCTCTGCGACTTTGCTCAAGCTCGGTGACTTAATAATGCCAAGGTGCTTGAGCCTGTCTGCCTTCATTGGGCATTGTCATGCAGTTTACAGACACATGTCTCCCTGTTGTTGATGTTTGGGCCAACAATCCAAAAAGGTCTTTTCCTGCAGAAAAGCGAATGGGACAGCTTCAGATGAAGCATCTCCAGCATCTCCAGCATCTCCAGCATCTCCAGCATCTCCAGCATTGTCTCAGAGAGGAACCTCTTTTGTTTCTTCCTTTTGAATCTTGTGATCGTTTCATTTTTCCCTGCTGATGCCCGACTATTGTCATCTCCACTTAAGAACATTTTGACTATCTCC